AGTCTGCTCTTTTCTGAAGTCCAGAGTTGTGATCCAGCTTTTGGCTTGCCATGTTTTTTAAGGATCCTGAACTTCACCATGGTCAGTGGTGGAGTTGTGCAGTCTCTGTAGCTATAGCTGCACTGCACATACATTACTGCAATCAGTTCTTCCACGTTTGTGAGTATGTAGTCCAGCAGACTCTCATGATTTTCTTGAACGCCAGTTCGGGAGGTTATCATCAGTGCACTCCAGAAACCTCCAGGATTGCTTGTACTGTGCAGTGTTGCCCTTCTAGCAAATACCGAGGTGGTTGCGGTCCCCATGAGTATTAGGGCCTGTGAATGTGAGGCCTTTTGTGGTTATCTGAGGAAGGCTTCATCTTCTGCTTCCTGATTAGATGATCTTTAGCTGACACCCATAATGGGACCGCCCACGTTGGTCTGCCCTCTTGTTCTAACCTATAAGCTCTCAACTAGCTCATCCATTTCAGCATCTGTGTATAATGAGAAGGATAAGGCCATCCAGTTAGTATAATGCCAAAACTGTGATGAACAAGCTAGTTGAGTTTGAACATGGAAAGATAAAGGAGAACCTTCAAAGAGAATGGTACAAGCATGTGAAAATTACTGTTTGCAAGTTTTTTGAGGTATAATTTATACTTTTCAGAGACTAAAAAGAGTGATGAAGTCATAGCATTTCCAGGGCACTCATTCTATACTGATACAATTCAGTTTACTCAAAATTACCTCTTCCCCATTTCCCTTTTGTAAACAAGCCTGTAATACTTAAGTTCTCTGGTGGTGAACTAGCATGCAATGCTTGTGTGTGCCATAGAGTGACTGTGGAGTCTGAAAAATTGTACAGTACACAGATACTGTGATTTTCTGAATAAGGGTATATTATAAAGAGATGGCAGTTTGCTGGGTATGAATTTAGGTAATGCAGGATATAGTGGTTAATGTCTAGCTGCTTTGGACCTTCGTCAGGTCTTCTAGTCTCATTGCTATTTTGGCAAACATGATGTTCCGTTGTATTGTGGTTGTCTTGGCATAAGGTATTTTGTAATTTGTGGATCCATTTTGACAGTATTATACCTGCACAAAGAAAATTGCCAAACAGACTAGCAATTATGTGATTTCTGCATGCAAGTGGGAGTGTTTTTTGTTATGGATCTTGAGCTGTTGTTCCGTATGAAGCAGCCAAGAAAAACAGAGAGGAAGAAACATCAGATAATTGCTCTTACACAGTGTCCACATGTCAGTACTGCCACTTCAGTATGACAGTAGATCTGCAGCTTTTTTGGAAACTCAAAGCTGACCCTAATGACAAAGCTGGGCCACGATGGCAACTGCAGGGCTCTTGGGGCTACAATGCTGGTAGTTTGGAGTTGCAGGCTACTTGACTTACCTGGGCAGTTACGAACATAATGCTTTCTGCTTCTTGTCCAACCAGACTGACCCTCAGTGAGGATAATCCACCAAGTTGAAGGATCCAAAGACTGATTTGATATCACTAATATGACAGTGTTTCACTTCAGTGTCACTGAGAGGTTGCTGTCTCTGACAGCCTTTTTTTTCCATGCAGTGAATACCTATAGGAACTTGAAATAATAGAGTACTTGTCATTGATCTAGATGTGCCATTGCTTTATGATAGACATCTCCTGTCAGCAGTGTACTTTTCCCTAAAAGTTCCCTTAGTTAACTCATCAGAACCAGCAAGTTCAGAGAGATGCATAGAGTTAAATTGTTTGAGCATATGGCTTGCTAAATTGACTCGTTTCTCAAAAATGTGCAGTAGTAGAATGATTGTAAAGCCATACTAGCTATCATGACCTTGGGTGACAGATTTCACCCGAGAAAAGTTTTGGGTCAGACTTCAGTTTAATGCAAGTTTTATTGTTCCCCTTTTACCTTAGCAGCAGGGATTAAGAAGTACGCCCCCTCCCCACACCCACTCATCAGCGATGCTTTTAGTGTTGCATATTCTTTTCTAGGTGTGCAGGTGACCCAACACTTGCCTTGTGTTTACTAATTCAGTGACAATATTGTCTAACACACACAAAAAATCCCGTTCCGCCTTAAATATACGTTAGGAATTGCAATTCAGGACTACTGTGCTTTTGAGCAATGGTTCTTCTGTTTGGATTGCCTCAAAGCTTTCCAACAGAATAAGAGCTATGGTGCAAGGGCAGCTGATGAGTATCTCCCCTTTAATTTAGCAAGTCCTGCAAATACTGCTTCCTAGTCCTACTTCTGGTTTAAAACAAAGTGATCAGGTTGGGCTGTTTCTTCCTTCCACTCCAGTTGCCACAAGGCTGAATGGAAGTTTAAGCATATTATTTAAAGCTACATTTAAAAACTGTGCAGGAATTGGTCAATTGTCTTTATTTTTGTCTAAGACAGTTGTTTGGTATTCCAGAACTGAACATTTCGAACTTTTATTCTTTTCTTTCTCTGTGGAGACGGTAGTCATATCACCTTTCAGTCTTAGTTTGGGTCCAGTAGTCATTAAGATTTTCTTGTTACAGTCTCCTGGTGTTCTGCATTGATCTGATATTCACTCTCTTTGGGGTCCAATTCAAATTCACTAATTTAGTTTCAAATAAATAGCTTGAAACTGTTTGCCTAAGACTTGGTGTTAATAGTTTGGTTTGTGTGGACAAAATAATTGATAACTTAAAATAACTTTAAAAAAAATTAATATCAAGTTTTATTAGTCTTTAGGCAGCAGACGAGTCAGAAGTGTAGTTATCGTTTGTGGCTTCTAACAGGAAATTACTCATCATCTACTTAATGTTTTTCATGCATATACCTGCCCATGTTTTATACTTTCAATCTGAATATGAAGACTTCCTGACGGAATGGAATGTAGCAAAAAAAACCTGAATGCCATATATGTGTGCCTGTGTGTTACCATATACACACACATGGATAAATAAAAAATGTCAAGTGTACATGCATTATCCACATATCAGGATTGTATGTAGCAAGTAGCTCAGAAGTGTTACAAAATTAAATGTTCATTAATTAATTGTTGGTTCTAAATTTCTTTTTGGATTCTGGATGAAAGTATAGTCCCTGGTAGAAATGTTAGGAGTGCAGTGTTCTTGAGGCTTTGTTTTAAGAGAGGAAGAAAATTAGAAGATAAAATGTGGATTCTCAGTATTCTCAGATTTCTACATTCATTTAATTTTTATGCAAAACATGACAACAGTCCTAAACTTTGCTGAATGTAATGTGTTTTAATGGAGCGACTAGAAAAAAAATCATATAGAATCTTTAATGGTTGATGTATGAATGAGGTGCATCACAGCACCCTCACTTAGACTCTGAAAGAGGAAGTAAGCCCCTACCTGGCCTTTCTCACTTACTCATTGGAAAAAGTGTTGTCTGGGCATCCTTGAGAAATGAAACTTTGCAAGGGTTTTGAGGAGCAGGATTAAATTTGAAATATGTATTTATTTTTTTTAATCCTATCAAGTTGTCTTTGGTAGATGCAAGGTGTACTGACTGTGCTTAATAGACATAACTAAGTCTGGTAAAGAGGGAGGGAAGCTCAGTTTGCAGGTTTGTAGAAAAAGCTCTTCAAGTTACTTTGGGTTGCACCGGCCTGCCATGCTGTACCACTGTGAAGCAAGCAAAATAATAGTGGGGTTGCAGTTAGAAGTGTTACCTTTGAGGCATTTGCAGCCATTCTTCCTACTCTGCTTAACAAAAAGTAATAAAATATTTCTGTGTTTTGATTGATGCAGTTTATATGTGATATGGACTGAGGGAGTCTCCAAGACCAGAATAAATCAGGGCTTCTACACCTGAAGCTAGGAGGAAAATGGAAGAATATTTCATTTAGAGAAAGTTTGATCATGGCCACAGAATGGAAGGGCTATGCTATTTTTCACATTTGGCAATAGAATAAGAATTAATTGCATTAAACTTGAATAAAAAGGAAAAAAAGTATTTAGCCCAAGGATACTTAAATGGTAGAATGAACTGTGCATTGTGGTTCCAAAAATTTAGAAATTAGAGGTGGTGTGGAGGTTCTTGGTTCCCTTTCCTTTCCCAAATAGAATGGGCAAGCTGTTGCAAGTGATTTGAGTACAATTAATCCTGTACTGCTGAAGAAACCTTGCAAGAACCTCTGGGTTCTTCTTATAAGCCCTAGTTTGCTGTGTCTTTCCCCCTCACTGAATCACTTCTGCTAATTCCAAAATCATGGTAGTTATTTTTTTAGTAAAGGAGTGAGATAATTTGATTTTTCAGGAAATGACCTGATCAGGATTGTATCTCCTTTTCAAATCTGAATGCTAATAGATAATTATGGGAAGGATGCTGAAATTTCTGGCAGACAGCTCTTCTGGGGTGTGTTTTGAGCTTGTTTTCTGACTGGGGAATATTGGATCAAAGTTTAGTTTCCATCTTGGATCTCTAGACCATGAGACTTTGTCCTCTTGAAGTCACTGTGTTGTATAGGAGTTTGTCTTGTTGTTCCCTCAAAAGTATTTAGAACAAAGTTGTTCAAATAATATATTTAGATTTCCTTGATTCTCAATCTTTCCTCTAGTTGTTAATGGGAAAGTGCAACTTCCTACAGCCTTAAGTTTTTGAGATTCTGTATTATTTCAATAACATTATTAAATTTCCATATTTTTCAGCTAATTCATAATAATTGTTGCTATATTGATTACGACAGCACTGCTAGACTTGTAATAGGAATAGTAGATGAAAGTAGTATAATACGTAAGGTTTTTTTTCTATCCTAGCGCATATTCTGCTTCAAAATACAAAAGTAGATCCTATTGATTCAGTCGAGAGTTAGGAAAGCATTATTTTGAAGACCTCTGTCCTCTGTTTTATACTCTGAAATTCCAACTGTATTTGCTTCCTCTGCTTGGGAGAAAAATGTTAGGAGGACATCAAAGAAATTTTTCTCTACTGGTGGTGTTGTTTATTATGGACAAGGAAGAGGAGTGTTTTTTTTTTTTTTTTTAATTCTCATGAATTTTCTGTTCTTTTTCAGGAGTAAGAAACTTTTTAGCAAGAAAAAATTGAAAAGAAAACAGAAGACTAAACTAAAAGTAAAAACACGTAACAAGGTAAGACTGTAACTAATTTTATAAAGTGAAGTCTAAAAAAAAAAAGAAAATTTAGGGGAGATAAAGGAAAAATAAATGTACTTAGCAGTTTGCTTAGAAAATAATCCAATTTTTGTCTACACTATTCTGCATGTCTATGATATCAGTGTTAATCTTATTAACTTCTGTTTGCTGTGTTCAGGATGAAATAATGTTTTTGGTTTTCCAGTTTCTGAATTGTAGATGTGTCTAATAAACATATTACTCTTCATAATTTAATTTGGAGATGCATGTCTAGTTAACAGCTAGTGACCGCTGCTACAAAGATTTCTTTCTATTTTGACTGAAGGAGAAATGGAAAACCCAAAGTCCGAGAAATACAAAATAAGTCTTGTAAATGTCTCCCTCCTGAAACAGATAATTATTATCAGTTTTCCTTCATGTTTTTTTGTTTGTTTGTTTTTTCAATTACAGCCCCTGCCCCCTTCACTTTCACTGCCCGGAAACAGTGAGCTTTATTAAAATATTTCCATGATTAGTTCTTGCAGGAATCTAAGCAGGAGTAATGGAAATTTTGAATATTGTTCTGCTATATTGGAGAGCTATTTTTTTTCTGAATTAAAGCCAGAGTCTCGGGGGCATTTTCATGAAGGCTTGCTGCAGACACACCAGAGGATCGCTCCTGCTAGGTTTCTGCTTCAGCGAGGGAAAGTAGCTCTTCCCTGGAATGGTTCTGCAGGACAGTACTGCTGAAATACCCATAAAAGCATTTTCTAGTCAATTGAGTACCCCTGTAATACACATATGCCATCAACCTGGACATCTTATCCCTATGTGCCAAACCTCCTGTAGCTACTCTATCTCAAGACAGAAGCTTTCTGGGAGGGCAAAGCAAGACCAATATCTCTTAATTTAGTCTTGCCTTTTTGGATACCTGCCAGGTTGTTCTGCTTAGCTCAAGTAGTATAGCTGCAGACTATGGTGTGGAAGAGACTTTTTAACATTTCATTCTAGTACTATACAGGAAAATATTTCTAGTCTAAGCTGAAGTTCTTACTTTATTTTCCAGTACTATGAAATTGGAGAGTTTAGCTATGTCTTTTTTTTTTTTTTTTTTTAAACAAACCCACTGCTAAGATAAAAGCTTAAGTTAGAAATTTGAAGAAACTGCAAAATGTAGTTAATGTTTTTATTCTACTTTGTGACAGAAACCTGTGCTTTTAAAATAAGATAACTTAAAACTCTTCAGATAACCATATAACTATGACCAAAAAAAAAAGTTATGTGGTCGTTTTTGGTCATAGTTATATGGTTATCTGGTCATTCCAGATAGCAATGCCCTAGTTGAAAAAAACAAGCAAGATGTTAAATCCAGAACTTCTAGTTTCCACAAGATTGACAGTCAAACATATTTCTTGAATTTAGCTTTATTGGATTGATGGAGTATTATGATCCCTTAAAATGTTCTGAAAAGTCAAAAATACATTAAAGGTTGGTTCATATCAGTAGTTAACGTATTTGGTACTTGTTTATTGTCTCATGCCTATGGGTTTTGGGTACCAATGTCTCTCTTGGGTTTAAAACAGCTTAATGCTTTAAGTCCTAAGTGGGATTTGTTTTTGCAAGGGTCTGATGGTTTTTTGTGTGTTAGTTTTTCTTCATGCTCTTTGTTATTTGCTGACACCTCTATTCTAGGCAGGCTTTTACACTTTCATACAGGTCAGGGCTGCCAAGCAGGTGGTTGTTCTTCATTCTGAGACACTGAGGTGCAGAAAGGTGCTTGAACTTAACTCCCGCATGGTACGAGGAAATTGAAAATTGCCTGGAAAATGCAACTTTCCCAGGAAAAAAATAGAGGAAAATAATGAAAATCTGAAGAGGGAGAAAAAATAGTCTTTTTTCTTTTCATAAGTTTTTCCTTTTTTGTATTTTTTTTTCCCCTCAACCTACTCTGCAGTGTGAACCAAAACAGTATAAGCAAAATGTGCGGGGTTTTGTTGTTCCTTTTCTGTTTTCACCAAAATGTCTGAAAACAGACCTGTGTTTGGTCCGGGAAGTTTGGGTTTCTATTTTAAGTCTCGTATTAGGGCAGATCTTCCTGTAGTGATGGACTTTTCTTTGAGTACAAGAGATTGCAGGGATAAGTTTCTTACAAGAACCAGAGTGTTGTGGTCCTAACCTAGCTTTCTTTCAGCTACTTTCTTTTAATTTTCTGGGTTGGAGAAGAGTCGTAAGAATAAACTGAAGAACCTCTCCCAAACTTACCATACCTTGCAATTACTAGAAGTTATAATTGAATAAGAAAAGATAGAGAGCTCAAAGAGAGAGGAATATAAAAAATATCATTGCAAAGAAGTTATTCCAAATTATTTATTGCATTATTCTATTTCTTCATCATTTAAGTATTACTATTATAACACTTAAATATAAAGTAATTGGTGCCTGCTTCAGTGCAGTGGTATGTGTCTGAATCTGTAAACTGTGATGATATGACTTCTCTGTTAACTTTGATTTTATAGTTTTTTTTAATATATCTTTTTTAAATTAAGGTTTATTTTTTTTCTTGTGCATGCAGCAGTTTTGATTTTAGAAAGTCAGTTCTGAATAGAAATACTTTTGCATATGAAGTGAATAGAATGACCTTTGCATAGTGAAGTGAATATTAACTTGGGGTTGATACCTTGGAGACACCTTTTTTGGCAATGTTGTTACAGCTAGAAAACTGTTGTCTCTGGCTTCTTGCTCAACCCTATGGATACTGCCATTTTTTTTGTGTGTATTAGACCATCTTTGAAGTGAGAGGAAGCTTTCCCACTGTTTTATTACTGCATATAAGTAAAAGTTAGGACACTTATTTTTGATACTGGAGCTTTAGGTTTGGATGGAAAAGCAGAGGTTGTCATCTTCTGCTCTGATAATGTTCCTTTTTTGAGGAATACTGAAAAGCTAGAGTCTGTCAGAGATGGAAAATGTGCTTACAGTGAGAGGCATCCGGAGCTCCATCCGTTTAATTTCTACAGAGAGTTTTTAAACTGTGACTTGCTTAGCCAAATGTAGAGAATTAAATTGTTGGGAAAGAATTGTTTGAGTAGCAGGGAAATTTATTGTTAGCTAATGAATATATGTAGAAGTTGGTCGGTTGAAATATTTTTATCTCAGTTATTAAAAACACATTTTGCATTTTCAGTAATTCTTTATTATTTTGCGTTTCAATCTCGGGAGGGCATCCCTTTCTGAGCGATCTTCAAACTGCTCCAAGAAGAATTAGCATGGCTCTATGCTCTGTTATGCACAGGTTAGATTGGATGGTTATTATAGCTTTATCTATCTTTAACAGCAGATTAACTTTCATTTCCTAGATTATAGTCTATTTCTGTCACATCCAAGAATAAACCGTTATTACAGCCATCTGGTTTAAAAGGAAGGAAATGGATTGGTGAGAATACAAGCTCTATCTGGCTTTCATCTTTTGTAAAATCAGTATATACAGGTGGGAGCAAGTGTAAAAGAGAGCTTTTGTTTTTCCCACCACTTTCCTGAGTGCATTGGAATAGATTGCTGTTTGAAAGGAGTACTTGTGAGTCTGATTGCTCTGTTTTATTAAGAAAATCTCTGCTGTTTGATCTCTTGTGCATAACATATCCCTCTGTCATATCCCTCCATTTAACATGGACTTCACATTTAGAGGGACAAATTTTTCACCCTGTCCTCTCACTCTCCCTCATCCCCCTAGAGGGAAGGGGAAAAAATATGCACACAAAAAATAGTCGTAACACAAGGTAAAATATTTTTTTTCTTTACTTACATTAACTTTGCATGTTCCCATTTGCCATTATAAACTTGTGTTTAGATTTCAGTATTCAGTAGTTCAATATCAGAATGTTCTTCGCTCGCTACCTTGAATAAGGTGTTTTAAATTCTGTGTAGCTTTTTAGAGAACACCATCGTTTTTGTCTACCAAAGTGCAGAAAGCTTTCATTAATGATTTAAGCTTATTGCCCTTTACAGATGCACTATTTGTCCTTCTGAAAATCATGTCATTGTCCCTGTGACAATTGAAATGACTCAATATCGCTGTTACCTCATCTTTTGTGGTTTCAACTGAGAACTCCTTTCTCTCCGGAGTTCATGATGGCAAATTTCATAAGAATGACATGTGATTTTTAAGGTTGACTCCTTTATACCAAAATTTAATTCTAGCTGTTCTCTTGAGCACAAAGGAAGAAGTTCCACCATCCAAGATAGAAGATATGACGAACATGTTTCATTTTCTACTTCAGTCCAAGATGGTGGATTTTTGTTTTGTAGTGATACAGAGTGAAATAACAAAGATAAAGATATCGGAATATCCTACTTCGGTGTGGCTCAGATGAGAACCCCCAAAAGTGCAATTCTGTTTTCTAGTCCTGGAGCTCTAGGGCTCTTTTTCTACCTTCTCCTTTGCCCCTCAACCTCAGTGCAGTAAAAACCTCATACTTCAGGAAAGCAAATGCTTTGGGGAAAAAAAAAATATAGCTTGTCGCCTTGTTATTTACTTAGGCATCCTGCAAGCTGTGCATCTGATCATTTTTTATGAATGAGTGCTTTTGATTGTGGTATTCCAGTAACCCTTAAGAAAAGACATCTAGAAGTGCAGAAAAAGTGATTGTAGCTTTTCCTCTTAACTACCGAAAAAGCTTTCCTTCATGCAGCTGTAGATCTTAATATACTTAAGACCAAGAAAACATGCTGTTGTTTTTTTCTTGAAATAGTGAATTCTATATATCAAGACTAGTCTAATTTGGACTATTATCCAGTATTTGCATAAAATGATCAGTTCATTTCACAGAATCATAGAATGGTTGAGGTTGGAAGGGACCTCTAGAGATGATCTCGTGCAACCCCCCTGCTCAAGCAGGGACATGTAGAGCACATGGCACAGGGTGGCATCCAGGCGGGTTTTGAAGATCTCCAGGAGTAAAGAAGTTCTTCCTCATATGGAGGTGGAACTGCCTGTGTTTCAACTTGTAGCCATTACCCTTGTACTGTCACTGGCCACCACAGAGAAGAGTTTGGCCCCATCCTCCCTACATTCTCTCCTCAGGTACGTATACGTATTGATCAGATCTTCTCTCAGCCTTCTTTAGGCTAAACAGGTCCAGCTCACATAGTCTTTCCTCATATGACAAATGCTTCAGTCCCTTAACCATCTTCACTGCTCTACCCTGGACCCTCTCTAGAAACTCAGTGTCCTTCTTGTACCAGGGAGCCCAGAACTGCACACAACACTCCAGGTGCAGCCTCACCAGAGCTGAGCAGAGGGGCAGGATCCCCTCCCTCAACCTGCTGGCAACGCTCCTCCTGATGCAGGCCAGGATCCCATTGGCAGTCCTGGCCACGAGGGCACATTGCAGACTCATGGTTAACTTGTTGTCAGCCAGGACTCCCAAATCCGTCTGTGCGGAGCTGCTTTCCAGCAGGTCAGCCCCTAATCTGTCCTGGTGCCTAGGGTTATTCCTCCCCAGGTGCAGGATCCTGCACTTGTCCTTGCTGAACCTCAGGAGATTTTTCTCTGCCCAACTCTCCGTCCTGTCTAGGTCCCTCTGAATGGCAGCACAGCCCTTCGGAGTTTCGGCCACTCCACTCAGTTTGGCATCTTCTGTAAACTTGATGAGGGTGCACTCTGTGCCCTTGTCCAAGTCACTGATGAGCAAATTGAACAGCACCCGGCCCAATAATGAACCCTGTGGGACACCACTGGCCACGCAGGACACCACTGGCCACAGGTGTCCAGCTAGACTCAGCGCCATTTATCACCACCCTCTGGGCTCTGCCATTCTGCCAGTCCTCAATCCACTTCACTGTCTACTCATCCAGTTCACACTTCCCGAGCTTCCCAATGAGGATGTTACGAGAGACTGTGTGTCAAAAGCCTTGATGAAGTCAAGGTAGCCGACATGAACTGCTATCCCCTCATCCATCCAGCCTGTCAATCCCATTGTAGAAGGCTATCAGATTGGTCAAACATGACTGTCCCTTGGCGAATCCGTGCTGACTACTCCTGATCACCTTCTCTTCCTTCACATGTCTACAGATGGTCTCAAGAATGAGCTGCTCCATCACCTTTCCAGGGATGGAGGTGAGGCTGACTGGCCTCACCAGTAGTTTCCCAGTTTCCCAGTCCTCCCTCTTGCCCTTTTTGAAGACTGGAGTGATGATGGCTTTCTTCCAGTCCTCTGATCAGTTGCAATCAATTGCTTAAATGAATTCTTAAAAAATCATTAACATTTTAGCTTAGTGTTTAGGCTCTTTCTTGGCAACGTGAAAGTACTATGTGTCAGTGTAGAGTGCAGTGCAGTGGGAAAATTGTCATATTACAAATAGACTTTACTGGGCTGATGCAAGGATGGCTAAGTGGGGTTCTGCAGCTGCTGTGAGTTTTTAGATTGTCACAGTCATCTGGTCTACCTCAAAACCTAGTAGTAAGCTTGTGGAGTGAGGAGCAGAAGTCTCTTATTCCTTGGCAAGTCTGCCCTCCTGCTAAGCCTCTGCAGAATGACCCTTCATGAAGCTCATGAACTTCAAAAAGGGAGGATTTCAGGTGTTGGACAGAGACTTTGGTCTCACTTTCTTAACTTGAGAACATCTGAGCTCTGTGAAGTACTCTGTGACCTTAGGAATCTGTTGTAACCTGGAAAGGATAAAACAACTTAGGCCTTATGTGAGGAAAATCTTCTCATGTCCATTTTGAGTACTTTGCACTACCACTTTAAATAAAGGAGCTCGCTGAGTGAGGCCCTTTGAACTAGGAGAGCAGAAAGATTTCCTGTCTCTCTCTCTATGATTAGCTCCCTTCATCTGTGCATTTGTAGAAGAGAGAGAAGTGTTTATGTAACCTGTCCATTTTCCTTCTCTTTGAGCAGAAATTTGTCTCAAAGACCTTGTAGTTAAAGCCACCAAGTTAAGTAAACTGATTGTAAATAAATTACCTTTGATCTTTAGGTTAAATCTTATGGAGAGAGTGAGAGGAAATGATATCACAGGTTCCCTTCCTACTTTCCAAAAAGAGACACAATATGTCTTGTTTTTGTAGAGCATTTTTTAAAATTATTATTATTTTGCCTTGATATATGCCAGACTTTCATATGATTATTCCTTTAATTAGACCAAATAAAATCCAGCAATTGTAAGCCTGTTCTTCCCTTCAAATAAAAGGCACTAAACAATGAAAGTCATAGGTACATTTCAGTTTTTCAGGAAGTTAACCTCAGAGCTAGTTAGTTGCCTATTCTAGTCCTAGACTGTCTGTTGAGGTAAAGGAGGTTTTTTTGTGGGAAGTCTTGGACCAATAATGCAGTCTGAGCTGTCTGCACATTTTGAGTGGTGCACTGTGGTAAAGGAATGAGTCACTAAACACAGTCACATAGAGTAATGACAAGGATCACAATTTAAAAGCTTAAAAAAAAAGGCAAAAGTTAGTTTCTGTAAATTAGTCAACATATTAATAAGCAAGAAAATGGTTATTTATACTTTATCTGGTTTCATAATGCCTAAAATTATCTAACATATAAATCATTTAAGATAATTTTTGACAGCCCGCTTTAAAAGATAGCGAATTTGTGAGTGAGCAAAGACTAGGCTGAACGGTAAGAAAGAACTAAAAGGTGGAAACTCTTCACTTGAGTGTAATTGCAATATCTGATACTAACTAGGTAAGTAACCTTCACATAGAGATTCTTCAGAGGATCCTGGGTGTGTTTGCTTTTCTTTTTTTCTCATTTCCTTTAACCGTTTAGACATGAAATAGGAGGTGCATAGTGAATTTACTAACTCTTTTTTGGTACTGTGCAAATCAGCTGAGTTAGCTTTAAAGCGGAAGCCTGCTATGATTGTATACGTGCCTTTTCAGCAAGTGCAAAAGTTCTTGTGGTGTCTGTATGAATATTTGACATAGATAAGGATCATATAGACATATAAGATTAGAACATATGATTCTTATCTGTCTGTGCTAATGAACCATTTAGTTTTCTGGTACCAAATAAACTTTAAAACATTTAATAGCACATTACCATTATCAATCCTGATTTATTTTGATGTCATTTGATACTGGAATAATACAGCAAGCTGTATCTTGAGTTCTTGCATTGCTTAATCTCTTGGGTTCTTAATAGCACCTTTATTTAGGAATTCAAAGACTTTCATGTTGAATGAGAACTAAAATTACCTTGTCTTTGCAGCCGTAATGATGAGTTTTTTTGTGTTTAAGAAGTGTTTCAATATGTGCATAGGAAACTCCGTTCTTACAGCTTTTTCCTTACGCTATCTTTTGCATACGCTACTGTTAACACTGACTAATCAGAAAAATTAACATACTCTGTGTACAATCAAATTTTAATTTGATTAAAATTGATTTAATTGATTTAATTTGATTTTGTTTAATCAAATTTTGAATTTGATTTAAAACTTCTGGTGATAAATGTTTAAAAAATCATGACATTAAATGTTCCAACTTAGCTCGTGCTATTTCTTACAATAATTAAAACCTGTATACAGATAAAAATGCATTAAAATCATTGGTTTAATGTAGAAAGTTATACTATATTACACAAAAATATATTGCCTCATTGAAATGTTATCCAGTTCAGTGATTCTCAAACTTTCTCTCTTCTCTAGTAGGTGAAAATCCTTTCCAATCACTTCTCTCACATATGCGTAATTCGACCCTCTGGTCTATTCCAAATCTCTGTAACATAATTTGCTGTGTACTTCTCTGCCCTGTGAATGACTATATTAATAAATATCTATTTCCCTTTTTAGATATAAGAGTAAGAATTCCTCCAGATGCATCTGAAATCTGACAGGCAACATTAGACAAAATGGACAGTTCTCAAGTCTGAACTGCCTTTGGCCCTGTTTGTTTCCTATCCTAGTGTCCTAATAGAGTTATTTGAGATGAGGAGTGAAGCTAGGTGGAGAATTTGGAGATTTCTTCCTCTTCCTCCTTTCTTCCCTGCCTAAAATGTAGTTGGTGAATGAATTTTATTGTGGAGGCACTAGTTTGAGAATCACTTGATTGACCAAAGTTAATGTGAGGCAGTTGAGATGACTTACCTTTGTTTTGAAATTTGTTTGGCTTGAAGCTTGAAACTGCTAATAAATCTCATGCAAAACAGAATTTTATTTCCTGATTTTTTTTTAATCCTGTGTTTTTCAGACAGAGAACCTAGAGAGTACAATAACTGTACCAGATATCAGATTACACAGCAACCCTTCAGCTTTCAATGTTTACTGCAATGTCCGCCATTGTGTTTTGGAGTGGCAAAAAAAGGAAGCGTCCGTATCGTTGGCTTCCAAGAACAGTGTACAGAGTGGGGATTCAGACAGCGATGAAGAGGAGGAATCCAAAGAGCCACCCATTAAACTTCCAAAGGCAAGTAACGGGGTACCGTTTGAAGTGTAGGTGGTTTAAAGGTGCTATGTTCTTTGTAGGGTGAGAAAAGAAAAGCTTTAGAAGCTATCTGCTTGGAAAATAGGAATTCTTATATTCATACTCCATCCAGCACAGAATCATCTGCAAGTGTGATAGTCAAATGCATGAAAGCACTTCCAGTCCTCAGGTAATAGGAGGAAACACATCTTTCCTACAAGAAGAACTTCCTGACTCTCCCATTGCTGAATTAGAAGGACTTAGGTATATTAGATTAGGTAATTACACTAGGTAATTTTAAGCGAGACAACAAGTTCTTACAGATGTTTAATTTAAAACTTTACAAAGCCAGATTGGTTTTTAATTAAAAGGCGGCCTGAAATTCCAAAATTGATTCTCAAATTAGGTGATGCTCAGAGAAGGATGAAATTTACCACAGACAGATCCACTCGCATGTGGAAAGTAAAAGGTTGCTGCTGTCGAGGGTGTCAGAGCTTAAAATTTTCAAGTTGTAACACAAAGGAAAAAAAATAATTGTTGTCTTTGGAAACATTTTAAGTCTTTTAAAATTTATTTGGAGAGTACTAACTGTATGAACACATGTAATGCAGAATGGTAAATATACTATTACATGTCATTATTAAAAAACATAAACTAATGCAGGTATTAAGTCATGCAATTGTGAGGGGGAAGTTAAAGGAAATAAAACGGTAGTGTAGATGAGACTCCTTGAAGTGTATTTTTTGTCTTCTTTTTTTCTAGCAGTTATTTATGGATCGTAGAAATGATATGTACCCTTCATAAGGCGAGTTTATGCTTTTAAGTCTCAAAGATATTAAAAAGAGCAAGGGGATGGATGTGCAGTGAGTGTCAGTAGAAGCTGGCAGGCTGTGACACACAGAAATTGAGACGGCAGCAGCTCACAGAGTCTTCAGAGAGCTGGGAGAAAAAAGTTTATCATGTCTTGTAGAGATCTATGTTTTTATTGTATCTTTAAATACACAGGTTTGGGAGGAAGTTTTGTCGTTGTTTTATTAGTAATGCTCTTATTTTTGAGTACCCTCTGCCTCAGTGCAACTCAGCCTGGATTTTTCTCAGCTCAATCTCCTAGACTGCATGTGCCAGCTCTGCTTTCTTGTCAACACATGTGAAACCTCTGGGGATAAAACTGAAGGAAGGGCTTTGGGACTGTAAAAGAGGGGTCATGGTTGTGGGATGTCACTGTTGGGCTTCCTCTTGGCTGAGCACTAAACAGGCATATAAACCTCTCTGGTTTTATTGTGTTTTTTTTCCGTTAAATCTGTGTTACCTGTGTCTGTCTGCCAGCTTAATTGTAGGTATGAAAGTGAGGAGACCTGTTTACAGAAACCTATCCAATCTGCTCACTCAGATACTAAATAAAATCTGTGTAGATTTGGATAAATTCCAGTATAAATGTATTTTACTGCTTCCAAGTTAATCACTATTCTAGTAAAAGTTCTCCAAATTAATTTCTTTTTTTTTTATGTGTTATTTTCTTGCTTTCTCCAGCTGCCTCTGTCATCTGTGAAAAGGTCTTCTGTTTGAAAATCAAATAAAAATTCTTAGATTTATTTTAGAAATATTGTCACTGAAAAGAAAGTTTCTATGCACATACCGTGGTGCATCTTATTCTTTAACCTGCCTGATTATGCCAGGTTTGGGATTCTAGCAAACACATCCATGCTATCATTTTGCTGACATTTTTTTTTCTTTCCTGTGGATTCCATGCATATGTTTCATTCCTTTAGAGGAGATGAGGGAAATGAAAGATGCAGTCTACAGGAAAACTGCTGTTGCACTTTGGAGACTCTACTTGATTCTGTTTTTTGTTCTTCCTCCAAGAGTCAAACAGGTGGTAAAACAACTTCTGAAAGGCAGAAGTGAGATGGTTCAGGAAGGAGGGGAAAGTATTAGTGGTGCCAGTATCAGTGAAAAATGAAATATTACTCAACTATGGTACTTTGTGTGGAAGCAGGTTCTCATTTGCTCACATTCTTGAGTGAGGAAAAAGGAAGTAAGGTCTGTCAAAGTGTGAACTCGGTAGAAATTAAGAAGAGCCAGAGGCATGGTTTGTCTTTGACTTCTAATGGTATCCTGAAATTGAAAGTTTCCTTATTTTTTACAACAAATGTAATTTCTGCTAAATATTTACTGCTACAGCTGTTTAAGTAGATTAAGGGTTTATTTCTTGCTTTTGAGTTACTGTTAAATTCTTTGTTACTTAGTGTTATTCAAGTAACTACCTCGTCCTGTAAACATTAGGATGCACCATTATTGATGAAGACCCAAAAGAATTGATATCAAATATTCTAAAATATCTTGTCTTGTTTTTTAGATCATTGAAGTTGGTTTATGTGAAGTCTTTGAGCTGATAAAGGAGACAAGATTTTCTCACCCATCCTTGTGTCTCAGGAGTCTACAAGCCCTACTTAATGTGCTCCAGGGCCAACAGCCAGAAGGCCTCCAGTCAGAGCCTCCTGAAGTCCTGGGTAATACACTTCTTGCCCCTTACTCCCCATTTTACTTTATTTTTCACCCCTGTATTTTGTTTTAGAGAAAGAAATGGTTCTAGCAAGTATCTGTGAGGCTGTAGCATTTTTTTTCACTCATTTTCTGTTCTGAACTGACTGACTTGATTCTGGAGTGTTTCTCCTTATGGTGTTTGTAACTACTCTCATTAATCTTTTGCAGAACGAATAGGTTGACATGTAAAGGTGTTTTTGTTGTTTTTTAAAACAAACAAAACCCACATAATTTCTACTCATGTAACATGATATTTCACTGAAATATGGAAACCTGTTAGCCTAATAAATCAGAATTCCTTTGCTTTACTGAATATCTAAAATACTTGGTCTTAATGGAAAGAAAATAATTCTACAGAGAACTTCTGTCCTAATCTGCTTTATTCTATCGCTTGACTATTTAATGCTATAATATATTAGTATTTATATAAAGCTGTGTGAATTGTTAGAATTCTTGTTTTTTGCTTTCACATACTATCCAGAAGCTTGTCTGGGAATTCCTTTTGCTTGTGGTATGGGAAGCAAAAGTCCAACTCTTAATGACTGTGAATACATGACTGATTATGCTGTTCTTTCAGTTAAAATATTTATCTCCTGGCAATAACCATAGTTTTTACTGATTTATAGAACTGCAAGGAAAGACAGACTGTAACGTTTGTTTTTATTATTTAAACAAACAACTGTTAGACTTCCTACCTATGCATTCCTATGTTGTGGCTCAACAGTGTTCTATTTCCAAAGATCATATTAATTTACTTGGTTTTGATTATTATTGCCTTACGGTGATTATTTGCATATGCTGTTATCAAAGTTGAGGTAGACTTTTATCTTGATTTGATGTAGATGTTCAGTCACTAAAGAGTGCTTAAAAATAAAACAGTAAAAATAATTTTCAAGATACTCTTTTGAAATGCTAATTTCTGAGCAACGTGATATGCTCATAAAGATCAGACAAGGGTTGGTCAGGACCTACGTTTAATCTCAGTATTGAGCTAGCTTGACTGGACAAGTAAATAATTATTTTTAGTCCATTAATTATTAAGTATTCCACTATGACAGAAGGATTTGGGGGGTTTCTTGGTTTTGAGTCCTTGTGAATATCAAGACTGGCTTTTTCCAGGGGAAAAAGAAAGAAAAGTTAAGAATAACTCTTGCACACCTGTCTAAGTAAGATGCTTTGTGCTTCTTTACCGCTACTGATCAGTGGCTAAAGAAAAGGAGGAATCATTAATGCTAGAAACTGTCTTCTGCTCAAGAAATTGCATAATTTTCACCTGCTGGAAGTCTTTTGTAGTCTCATCTCTATTTTTTAATGCAGAAAGACCGATATGAGCAATTGCTGGTGGGAAATGGATTATTTTAGCCTTTAGATGTTGATTGGAAATGACAAACATGCAATATGTTCTGATAGCTCTTAACACAAATTGCACTTGAAAGAATAAAATGTTACTCTTTTTCAGAGTAGAGTTGCATTTAATTTGTGGTGTCTGCTTTGGAATTGGAAACTGTTTCATGTTTCAAGATCATTCGGATAAGCCCATATACTTGAGGGCAAGAGAGAGATCTTCCTATGCTAGGATCTCTTGGTCAGAATCTCCTGACCTTTGGTAATTTCCAGATGCTTTGGAAGAGGTTTACTATGTACATACGTGTTTACTATTGATGATTTTTGTGATAAGAAAGTAAATGTTGATATTAAAATGCACAATTGGGGTCATAATGATTTTTTCTGTAGGGCAATACTGCTACTCTGTAGCACTTTCGTGCCCTTGTTCTCTCTTCCTAATTTTAACAGTGTGGTATAGAGGGGAAAACTGAAAATAGTGTTGTTAGCTTAATGGCTGAGGAAAGATGCACGCTGTGTATTTTGTAGGTTCAAAATTAATCTCATTGACTGGAGATCTGCTCACTATGGTTTAGTGACTTGACTATGATGTAATTTTGGTGTTTTACTTGCAGAATCCCTGTTCCAGCTGCTTCTAGAGATAACTGTCCGAAGCACGGGAATGAATGACAGCACAGGACAGTCCTTGACAGCCCTTTCCTGCGCTTGCCTCTTCAGTTTGGTAGCTGCGTGGGGAGAGACAGGAAGAACATTGCAAGCCATCTCTGCCATCCTCACCAATAATGGCAGCCATGCTTGTCAGACTATTCAGGTCTTGCACTAAATGCTTTTATCTGGAATTTAGTGTAAATGTACACGAGTTCTCAGAAGATCTAGCATGTAAATTCAGTTACCTTCCTTTCTTACTATTTTTGAGATAGGTGTTTCTCTGTCTGTCTTGGTTTGGAAATAATACATATGTTTTATATATAAATGTTTATATTAGCATATAAATATATAAAGTGGGCCATGGGTTTTTGTAGTGTGAATTTAGGCTTTATTTTTATAGTTCTATTATCTAATATAAAATATTGTGATGCAAGTACCATTGTCTTGTTGTCTTACTGTTTAGGTGCCAACCATTTTAAACTCTCTTCAGAGGAGTGTGCAGGCCGTTCTGGTAGGCAAGATCCAAATCCAGGACTGGTTCAGTAATGGGATAAAGAAAGCAGCCCTCATGCACAAATGGCCATTGAAAGAAATATCTGTAGATGATGACGACCAGTGCCTACTTCAGAGTGATGGGTTTTTCCTTTATCTGTTATGTAAAGATGGACTTTACAAAATTGGCTCCGGATATAGTGGAACAGTGAGGGTAAGGTGATTTTTGTGTCAGGTGGATGGCAGTTAATATTTTAACTTATGATGTCCAGTTGCCTTTTAAAATCTTTTGT